ATTGATAGGTATTTGGCTACGAGCATTAATTAAGCAAAGTATTCACGGCTCTCAACTAATTAATTACTCGGTTGGCGTGCTCGTCTAGCCAGCGGGTGGCGTGAATTGAGGATATAACAATGCGCCGCACAGAAACATTGCGGGCATTGTGGCCTGCAGCAACGTTAGAGTGCAGGTAATAAGATTGATTGGTGAATGATTTCAGATCTGTGATCAATTTGATCCACTGAATATGAATCGAAGCAGCAATAAGGGGCGAGCCGCGTTGTCACAGAGTTGTAGTAGTGGCACGTTGGAGAATAGAGCAAATAGTTTCGATGACGATTTCATTTGCATTAATAGTGGAACAGACGAGACGAACAAATCATTGGTGCGATCGCAATCGATACACTCATCATCGAGCACACAAACGCATGCCTTGTCACAGAACAACTATGGCCAGCACACGAAACCAGCAGGTTTTATCGTTGTTTTGTTGTTGTTTTATTTTTTTTTTCGTGAGCGGTGGCGAGTTGAATTTTAGAACCTGAATTTCATTTCAGGTCGTCCACCACCCCCGAAACCAGAACGTCAAAATCGAGTGACGACTGGCCGAAGTGGTTCAGTGGATTCAAGGCGTCCACAGAAGTCGTCTCCAACGACGACGACAGAGAAGAATGCAAACTCGAAAATTGATGTAAATAATTTGCAATTGATCGAATCTACATCAGAGATTGATAATGAAGTGAGTTGTTCATTGAATTAATTAATTAATTAACAAAACTAATTAATTGAACTAATTGGTTTTGTTGTTTTTCATTGAATTATTGTGTGTTATATAATGGGAACATGCTCAGAATTATATGCGCATGCAAAATAAGACTTGTCAAATTTCAGTGAGAATTTTAAAAGGTTTATTTTAAAAATTAAAAATTTTTATGAAAGCAACTAAAATTCATTCAGATTGCATCACTAAAGAAACGCGGCCCGTCCGAGAGTGCGGCGATCGCGTGCAGATTCATATCGCCGGTTTTGGATTACTTAATTACGGCGTTTAGTGTGACCAGTGTGAAGATCATTGTTGAGAAGGACTACAGGTCTTTATTACTATTCTTCAGATAATACCATTGAATAATAATAATAATAAGGGGAGGGAAATAGAATAGCCGTAGATGTGGATGGATAGTAAGAGTATATTATGACTTTAACTCTTTCAATTGAACTTGAAAATGCGAAGAAGCATATGTATGCAGTTGGCCGTCGATACGTTCGAGTTCGAGTAGCGTTCGAGAGGATAAAATGGTATTTACGTGCGAAACGAAGTGTACAATTGAGGAGATTCTGATCAGTGTGCTGAGCTTCTTCTTGGATCCGGCACAGGTGGAACTGCATAACGGGTGTTTGCCGGTGGATGAGTACGGCCTGAAGGTAGTAGAACATTTTGCGATGATTGGTGGTCGTTTATTTTGGTGTATTGCAGATATTCGGTCTAGATGAATTTCTATTGAACAGCTCGCAGCTGGGAGAAAATCCGTTCGTGGGACAGGCGTTGATGTTTGGCAAGGATATACGACTTGAGGTGTTATTATTGTTTATTTATTAATATTGTTTATTATTATTTATTAATATAGTTTATTTATTATGAAGGTGGGTAGAACAACGGCACGTCCATACAAGATCACTGAGCACCACGAGATGTGGAACATTAATATGTCACCAGCGAGCAGGTGAGTATTATTTTATTTGTTAATGATTTAATTAATTAATTGATTATTGTTTATTATTTATTATTATAAAACATTAATGATTACAGATTAGAGAAAGATCAGCAACATCAAAAGCCGTCATTAAAAGTCAGTGCTGAATCGGTTGAAAGGGTGATCGATGTGATTAAAAAGGAGATTAAGACGTCTTCAACGCAGTTTATGCATATCAATAGTGAGTTATTATTTATTATTATTATTTATTATTATTATTTATTATTGTTGTTATTATTATTTGTTAATGTTATTTATTATTGTATGATAATAATAATAATAGTGAAATTTTAGCAATGAAGTATAGACAAGCCGTGAAGCAATCAGTTAAATTACTGTGTACATTGTTGGGTAAATTGATGACGTACGAATTGATTGAAGCGCTGAACATTTATACGTTAGCGACGACGATGGTTTGTGGTCGTTTATTTGATTTGTTGTTATTTTGTTTATTGTTTATTTTCATTATTGTTATTATTATTATTATTATTAATGTGATTATTATTTAAAGGAACAATTTGAAACGGGCACGCAAATGTTGATAATGGCGATTCATAAATTTATTGGGATATATGCAGAGTCAACGCAATCGAGATTTGATGTGGCGCCATTGAATAAGGTATTAATAAAATAATTTATTGATAGTTATTGTGATGATTGCAATTGTGATTTAAGGATATAGCAGCGGTGAAGACGAAGCGACGTCGTGAGGTGGTGAGTGTGGACGAGAGGTTATTGATAAAGGTGGAGTCGATTCATAATTTGTGTGATTCGTGGCAGTTGAGGACGTTCGGGGTGTGCATCGTGGTGAGTGTGATGCACGGTAGCAGTGAACTCTGCACTGGTTTTAAGGATATTATGAGACCAATCGATTTCGACAGCGCTTTCTTCGTGTACTCGCATATAGACACTTGGGTGAGTTGATGTGTTCATTGGTCTGGTTTATGATTTATTTGATATGATTATCATATGGATTAGATTGTTAGTTGACGTCGAGTGGTGGTTTTATCAGTCTGCATTGCTCGAGTTCATCTGCCTTCTGTTGCTGTACTCTGATGATTATGATTAGTCTGATATGATTATTATGATGTGGATATATTTATGATATGTATGGATTGTTTTTTATTTGTTTGTTATTGTGTTTGTTTATTGTTTATGAATGTTGCAGGCAGCATTCGATTTGCCGTTGTGTGTGTTGCCACGAGAAACACGAGTGGTAATCGTNTTGCTGTACTCTGATGATTATGATTAGTCTGATATGATTATTATGATGTGGATATATTTATGATATGTATGGATTATTTTTTATTTGTTTGTTATTGTGTTTGTTGTTTGTTTATTGTTTATGAATGTTGCAGGCAGCATTCGATTTGCCGTTGTGTGTGTTGCCACGAGAAACACGAGTGGTAATCGTGGTGTATGGGCTGAATCGAGGTGCGGATAGTGGGGGTGTGGGTGTGGGTGTGCCTGGTGGTGCGGCAGTAGGCACGGTGCCTGTGGCTGCTGCCTCTGCTACAAATCAATTGCAGATCAATTCGGCGGTTATTTTTTTGTATTGATATTTTAGTGGTAATTACGCTTGATTATGTATTGTGATATTGTTAATAATTTTTTACTTTAATTATTCATTTGAAGACATCACCGTCGGTGGCTTCATCGTCTTCGATAGGAACGAATAATACGAGTGAATCGGGCAATGAGTCTTGCGAGAGGTTGCTTGCATACACTTCATTCCCATTGTTCGATCACAACGGGTATTGTTTTTATTATTATAATAAAGTAATGAAAATGACAGAATATTTCGACAAGGCTCGATATTTGTGCCGTTAACACTGTTGGAGGATCGCGTGGTGCAACCATGGGGACCGCGACCGTTATTTGAGAACTGTAATGAGTCAACAATATTGGTGACGCTGCCTGAGTTCGAGTACGATGTGGTGTTTCCGTATGTGGGATTCGGTGAGAGGAGGTTATTATTTATTGATGTTGTTATTATTTATTGTTTTTATTTATTTATTTATTATCGATAATGTTTTTAAAGCACAAAGCGCGAATTCGAGACATTGGACGAGGGTACTCAACAGTATCTGCTGGATATTGTTGAAGGAGGTGTGACACATTGGTTAGTATTATGTTTATTTATTATTATGTTATATTTATTATATTGTGTTTATTTATTATTATGTTGTATTTATTATATTGTGTTTATTTATTATTATGTTATATTTATTATATTGTGTTTATTTATTATTATGTTATATTTATTACATGTTATTTATTATGTTGTTTATTGTTTATTAACGAACCAAATGTAGTTTAACGCAATGCGAAATGGAATTACTTTGGGAGAAACGACATTATTTGACGCATATGCCATCAGCACTACCATTGGTGTTAATATCGTCGGTGGGTTGGGACTGGGCATCGCTAAATAATATTTATCAACTGCTGGATGACTGGATGCCGTTGTCGCCGATACAGGCCATTGAACTGCTCTTACCGAAGTTGGTTTGGTTTGATGTTTTGGTTTATTAATTAATGTTGTGATTTATTAATTGCATTGCTTTAGCTTTCCGGATATGATTATACGCGAACGTGCGATAACGTGGTTGAAGGGTGCATCGTCAGCATTCATTTTCAACTTTTTGCCGCAGTTAGTGGAGGTATTATTGTTATTATAATTGTTTTATTGCTGTTATTATTGTTATTGTTTTTATTATAATTGTTTTTATTGTTGTTATTATTGTTATTGTTTTAAGGCACTTCGTTTTGAAACGTTTGAGAATTCGTCACTGGCTGCATACCTGTTGCATTTGTGTGCACAGGATCGACGTTTCGCATTCGAAATTTACTGGTAAAATTGATTAATTGGTAAAACTGGTAAAATTGATTAATTGGTAAAATTGCTATGGACGTATCGATATGTTTTCAATGAATTTATCAATAGTATGATCAGATAAAAACAAATGTAATGGTAAAACTAATTAATTACAGGCAACTGCAACAACGAGTAGATCACTGCGTTGAAGTGACACTAAGAAAGCGTTACATGACAATGCAAGAGCAAATCTTTAATATAATGGACAATTTGTTCGTGAATGAAATTCATAATCAGCATTTACTATTGCGGTCGTTGGACGGTATCGGCGCCGATATGGCTGAGACTAATGACCACAATAAAATGGTTATTTCTTTTATTTTATTCATTAATAGTAATAATAATAAGATTAAAGTATGATAAAGTAATGAATATGATAGAATAATATAAAAGTAAAGTAATGATAATGTAAGTAAGAAGTAAAAAAATAAAATTGTAGTATTCGATATTACAACGGCATCTAGCGTTATTGGACGCGCATATATTAGAGAATAACATTCGACTGCCGATATTGCCATCGTTTCTGTGCATTGGAATCGAGACGAAAGAGTCGAATTTCTTCAATTCACTCACGAAACCGATTAAGATTTGCTTCAAAGGACTGAAGACAACCTATAGTGTGCTCTATAAGGTATTTATTGTTTTGTTATTGTATTTGTTGTTATGTTATTGTTTATTGCAGATCGGTGACGATATGCGACAAGATGCATTGGTGTTGCAGTTGGTGAAGGTGATGAATGATATTTGGTTGAGTGAAGAACTCGACTTGAGGATGATTATATTCAGATGTATGCCGGTTGGAGTGAAGAAAGGTGAGTAGTGATTATTTATTATTATTATTATTATTATTACTATTAACTAATTAATTAATTAAAGTTCAGGTATGATAGAGCTGGTACCAGACTGTCAAACGCTACGCGAAATCCAGAGCGCCAGTGGTGCAACGGGTGTATTCAAGGACGATGTGCTCAAGAACTGGCTCGAGAAGCATAACCCAAATGAATTTCAATATAAAATTGTGCGTTGTTTTAAGAAATCATATTTTTATTACTTTATTACTCAAAATAGTAATAATAATAATAATGATACACCGAATAATAGTAATTGTAATGAATAGTTGTAAACATACTAGTAATAATTATAATAGTAATATAATAATAGTAATAATAATAATGACAATAATAATAATATTNGAAATCATATTTTTATTACTTTATTACTCAAAATAGTAGTAATAGTAATAATGATACACCGAATAATAGTAATTGTAATAAATAATTGTAAACATACTAGTAATAATTATAATAGTAATATAATAATAGTAATAATAATAATGACAATAATAATATTATTATTATAGTAATATAATGATGGTAATAATAATAGTAATAGTAAATATAGTAAAATAATAATAGTAATAAATAAAATATTGAAGGCATTAAAAAATTTCGAGTTGTCGTGTGCGGGTTGGTGTGTGGCGACGTACGTGTTGGGTATAGGAGATCGTCACAACGACAACATACTGGTGACGACCACGGGGCATGTGTTTCACATCGATTTCGGGAAGTATATGGGGGACTGGCAGATGGCTGGCGCGTTTAGAAGGTTGATTATTGATGATTTTGGTAGAGAGAGCAGCACTCGAACTCGCTTTCGAGCACAACCTTCGTTCCGTTGGCATCCGCGAACGGAAATCGAACCCGAACCGCCACCTAGCAGTTAGGGCTGGCTCTAGCTATAAGCGAAAATGATCTGATCAGCGATAATCACAGCGAACTGATCAATCGGCGATCACGATCACATAACGAGTGCTGTGTCTAGCAATATGCCAGCAGCAGCAGCAGCAGGCTATAATCCGGCTTGTATCTATTTTATAATTGTAGAGATCGAGTACCGTTCATCTTCACCAACGATATGGCATTCGTGATCAACGAAGGCTCATCGCAATCGGCCACAACTCGATATCAAGCGTTCGTTGATAACTGTTGTAAAGCATTCAATTTACTCAGGAAAAAGTATTCGTTGCTAATGAATCTGATGAAATTGGTGCGTTTGCTTCTGATATTTATTTAATTTTTATGTAAGGTCTTATTTAATGTATCGAATTTAAGTGTATTGCAATGAACATTTATATAATGTGTATTTAGTATAAATTACGGTAAATGTGGTGTATAAATTTAATATTTATAAATATAATGTATTTAGATAATAAATTTTATAATAAAAATTTTTTAAATAATATAACTATAATTTAGATACTAGAATATTTAATGATATAATAAAATAGTTCAAATAATAAATGCAGATATCGTGTTCGAACGTGCCCGGCATGAGTATGCACGCAGTGAATTTCGTGCAGAATAATTTATTGCTGAATTTGAGCGATACCGAGGCAACGGCTCAATTCACGAGGATGATACAGGAGAGTCTGGCCAGTAAATTCCCGAGGTGATTATTTTTTATTGTTATTTATTATTATTTTTATTATTAT